GGAGAGCATTTGGCCACAGAGTTGACTAATCCCTGTGCAATAGCAGGCGTCTGTGAAGAGATGCAGCATTTGTGTCCCTATCAGGTGTAGTCCAGCTAAGCGCCAGCAGCGTTTCCGTTGTGGGAATGTGCAGTGTGGTTCTTCGGCACTGCAAAAGACGGGAGAAATGAGGAGCTTTCCAGGAACCCCTAGAAGATGATGAATTGGGTTGCATCCAAGGGCTTTCACAGGACTTGCTAGGAATGGCTGTGTCTAAGAGACCGACAGGAATGTTGTATGGTTGTTGCCTAGGAATTTCCAAATCGGAGCAAAAGTAACTGTTCCAGTGCTGTTTTCTAGGATTACCCATCTTCTTGGATTGCCCACATGAGTTTCAAAGTGTGCAAAGAGTGCATTACTGTATGGCCTTGGATGAGCACATCACCACCTGGCTGTTTTGGAGCACTTCACCATGAGCAATTTAAAGGGGATACAGCACCTTAAAAAAAAGGGCACAATCTCCTCTATTAGAGATCTACTCAATTCTTATTCCCCACACTGCAGGTCTTTAAGCAGCCACCAATATAGAGTGCTTCAAAGCTCCACACCTTAAAGTCCAAAACCAATACGACTCCCTTATCACCAACAGGCCATCCTGTAATAATAAAATTAATACTAAAATGAGTAACTAGGAGCCTCCTACTGACAATAGTGATTGCAATCAAACTAGTACTAGTCCCACTCCATTGCTGATTCCTAGAAGTACTTCAAGGCTCATCCCTAATTGCTGCTCTACTACTATCAATAATAATTAAATTATCTCCCCCATCACTATTCTCTTCCTAACTCACAGAATCACAGAACGTTAGGGATTGGAAGGGACCTCAAAAGATCATCTCGTCCAATCCCCCTGCCGGAGCAGGAACACCTAGATGAGGTTGCACAGGAAGGTGTCCAGGCGGGTTTTGAATGTCTCCAGAGAAGGAGACTCCACAACCTCTCTGGGCAGCCTGTTCCAGTGCTCTGTCACCCTCACTGAGAAGAAGTTTCTTCTCAAATTTAAGTGGAAACTCACTCAGCCCAAGACTATTAACCACCGTAGCCATTGCCTCAGCAGCCCTAGGAGGCTGAATAGGACTAAACCAAACAAAATTAAAAAAAAAAAAATAAAAACCTTAGCCTTCTCATTGATTTCCCTCTTGGATGAATAGCCATAATTATTATCTACAGCCCCAAAAGCTCCTGCTGCTAACTTTCTGCTTATACTTCCTAATAGCTGCCAGAATATCCCTTGCCCTCAACGCAACCAAAATTCTAAAACTATCAATGATAACCTTATGAGCAAAAAAAACCCATACTAAATATAACTTTAATAGTAGTCTTACTCTTCCTAGCAGGACTTCCTGCACTAATAGGCTTCCTGCCTAAATGACTTCTCATTGAAGAACTTACTAAACAAGAAATGACCACAACAGCCACAATCAGTGCCATACTCTCAATGCAAGGATTTTTCTTCCATGTTCACCTCACATACTACTCAAAAATCACCACTCTAACGATAAATCTAAGCCTACCACTAACCAAAATCCTAACCAACAAAGACCATAACCTTAATGCTTATCTTAATGACCATAACCCGTAAACTCATAACCCTAGTGATTGAAAATCTGACCCTATCCCTAAACCTAAAAGTAACTGTAATAACACAACTGTAGCACCTAAATCCTAACTGAAACTATAAGCCTAACCTTAGCCCCAACCATAACCCCTCACCTTAAAGCTAATCCTAACTGTAACAGTGACCCTAACCCCTAACCTTAAGGCCCTAACAGCCCTAAACATAAACCTAACTCTTACATTAACCCCAAATTTAACCAAAATAACTGTAAACATAGTCCTAACCCTATTAACAGTAGCCCTAGCCCTAACCCTAAATTTTACCCCAACAACTGCAACCCTAACCCTAAACTCAAACATAAACCTAACCCTAATAATGGTAACCCTAATAACTGTAAAACTAAACCTAGGTTGCAACTGTCTGTTTTGGACCTAGGTCTGTGTAGGGTTTGTGTTCAAGTAAGGGTGAGGCATAATGCAAATCCTAAACCTTAAAACCTAACCCTGATCATAACCCGATCTCTAATGCTATTCACTAACCCTAAACTTTAAGACCCTTAAGCTACACCATACATGAAGGGACTACAAAGGGAAGAGGAGGGGAGGGCTTACAAAAGCTATCGGTCCTGGCCACTTTCATGGGGAGGCCTAGCTGACAAGTGTCCATTTTGGACTTGGGCTTTAGCTAGGGTTAGTATCTGGTGAGGGTGATGGATTACAACAAATGTAGCTGCATTATGTGGTGAAAGCCTCTGAGGTTTTCCCATTAATTTGAAAAAATATTTAAGTTTTAATGCTTGAATTATCAGTGATTCCCTTCTTGAAATACAATTAAAGTTCAACTGTTGTATAATGTTATTATTTAACCCATACTCAGCATCAGATGGCCAGATGTTTTACCAGAAATGTAAAAGAATTACTTTTTTTGTATAATCTCTTGCTATCTGGAATAGTTATTACTGAACCAAGCCGTGAAGGATGGACAGCCAGCCTTGACAAGGTTTGGGAGCTGACCCTAACCTCAGGGTCTAGGTCACCTAGGTCTCCTTTCATGCAGTGGTGCTTACATCTCTACTCTGCAGCCTCCTTAAGGAGCTAGAGGGACAGCCTGGGACAGCTTTCATGTTTTATCTTAAGTCTTAAGAGTTTCACATGAAACGGGGGGAAGAAATAAAGAGAGCCAAAAAGAAGGAAATAAGGAGAAACATGAAGGAAGAAGGAATGAAAAGAATGAATGAATGAATGAAGTAAACTGTGATCAATAAATAGCCAAATGCCTCATCATCCGACCAGTGATGTGTGTGAATGTATGAATGTGATTCCAACTGTCCCCACTTACTCTCCAGCAAAATCACAGCCAAGAGAACAAGCTTGGTGTAGTCAGCAGAGAAAGATGACCCTGTTGAGCCTGACTCTAGTCTGGCACTGTGGAGAGATATCAGAGGTGTAGAACAAATGGGAGGCTCCGCAGTTGCACAATGCAGGCCAAGGTCCAGTTGCCAGTGATACACTGCTGATCATTTCTTCCACTTACCTGCTGAGGTGTGTGGCCAGTGGGGAGCCCCAAAGGGCTCTCACTTCTGATGCCAAGCGCCTGGCATGACATGCTCCAGGGACAGGCTCAGGTAGGGAGTTTGACTGGGGCAGTACACTCGTCAAATCATAACACAGGTGTCCTAGGACAAGCTCAGGGTGGATGAAACCTCCCAAAGAGCAGAAGATCAAGGCTTGATCTTGATCTCTAGTACAGATATAGTCCATGAAAGCAGGGCCTCACTGTCCTTCTGAGTTTCTGGGTTTTAAGTAGGCATCCAGGAGGCAGTGGCTGAGAAACTCCAGGCACAAGTCTCCACATGAGGAAAGCAGCCATCTAGAATGTTCTGCTCTGTCCTGCAACAACCTGGGTAATTCAGGCTGTTCCTGCAAGGACTGGTCACTCTGGGGAAGATGAGGCTGGCTGGGTTATCTCCTCCACCTCTCTCCCACTAGTGGCTCTGAGGAGAAGGCCCAGAGGCATCACTGATTGTGGGGCAGGGAACCCATTCACCACATAAGGGGAGCAGGGCGAGGACTTCCACCATGACAGACTTCCACCATGCAGGACTAGGAGCAAGGAGGTGGGAGTGAAAAAAATCAGACCTCTCTCCTGCCCAGCATCCTCTAACAACCCCACATTCCTCCCATATGATACCCAGGGCCTCAGAACAGCCCTGTATCTCCAAAACAGTCCCACAAACCTCCAAATCACTCCCTCAAGCCCCAATAGCAGTCCCACATCTACCTCCAGCTGAGCACCACGTTACCATCTTCATCATATGCAGGCATTCTGTCTTCCACCTGCTCCCAGAAACACCAGCCCAAATACTCTGTGTGATCTGATCCCCCATCCTCTTTCCCATGCCTCCCCGTATCTCTTACTGTTCCCTGAGCTGCCCAGGAAGCAAAAGCCACTTTGCAGGGCAGACTGTGGCCTGGGTAAGGATCCCAAACCCACATCAAATTCACAAATAACTCCTGGGATGAGCACACCCAGGTCACATCCTCCTCACTTGAGAATGTCCTGCTCTCCTTTCACACCAATGCTTCCCAAAGACAGCAAGGAGGCTTGTGGCAGAAGAAAACAGTTTCATTTTTAAACAGAACCTTTTTCAACCCTTGTTCCTCAGGGTTATCTTTGCAAAAAAAAAGATAAAGTATTATATGAACAACTTCTGCATATGTATATACACATATATCATATACATGTATGTGTTGCATACATTTATACGCATAAAAACATTCCTGCAAACTTGTGCCCCTCATAACAGGCCATCTTGCTTTGTAGCAAAGAAAACAACTCCAACAAACAGCAAAAAAATCTGTCCCCTCAACTAGAGAAATACACTGAACAACATCCATTTGTGGCTCTCCAGGGAATCCCACCAGCTCCAGATGGGAGGCTTTGACTTGAGTGTAACATCACTTTAGAGTATTTCTAGACACTGGCTGGATTAGACAGTGCCGTGCTAGGACACGTGCCACACTCAGCTGTGCCCAGTCCTTGAGGAGAGCAGGCCCAAGGATACTGAACAGTCCTTTAACAGGTGGGCAAGCAGCCCTCACTTGCAGCGGGACTGTGACTTCCTAACTCAATTAGATACCTATGGGGAGAAATGGAGACAAGGGAGAAAGGTGAGGAGATGTCTTTCTGAGAGAAGTGGCTACAGTAACACAGCCCATCTGTCCAGAGCAATGCTTCTGCACATTAAAGGGGAGTCACTAAGCAAGTAGCCCCCAGAGGAAATGTCTCTTCATGCTGCCTGAAAGCTCCTCCTCACTGTCTTTGAGGAACGACACTAATACAGACTGGTCAAGACAGAGTAGAGGTGAAGGTCCAGGCTTGCATGCTGGGCAACAGCCCACTTCTAGTCATAGGCATCGTCATCATCAAAGTAGGAGTCACAATCTAGGTTATCTGACTCATCATCAAACAGAAAGTTGTCTTCATCAAGGTCGTCATCATCGTCATCATCATCATAGTCTTCCTGCCACTGCGGTTCATACTCCTCATCTTCAACATCTTTGCCACCTTCATCTGTGTTGAAAGGGTCACACAAGATGGTACGTGTTGGCCTATTGAGAAGGAGAGCGTCACATCAGACACCTGGCTGTGAGCAGCAACCACAACCCAGCCCCACACCACACTCATCCTCCCTACTACCATCACCTCATCATCTGCATTCAAAGCCACGCAGGTATACCTAGAAGGTCACTAAATGGCCTTATCCATGCATGCAGCACAGGGCTGTATCACAGAGCCTCCTGCGACTGGACCAACAAGCTGCAGTCTGCCACCAGCTCTGGTGTCTCAGCCCCATTCCAAGGAGACCAGAAACCCTGCTCTGAAACAGTGTCTCTTGACTCAGTTGTCATTCTTTCTTGCAACACGTAGCAGCTGTCAGAGAGGACTGGTCACACTGGGATAGACCAGCAGATGCCAGTTGGATTTCTTGGTTTAAACAGCATGTCATACACGACTTTGTTTTGAACTCATCACCTTCCCATCACCCTTAACACCAGCCAGCTCTGTACTCTAGGACAGCAAAGCAACAAGCCATATGTTTCACCTCTCAACACATTATTTTAGAGCTATGTCACCTCTTCTCCATTCCCTTCTTAAAATAAATGTCAGGCCCTTCCATCTCCCCCCATGTATGTTCCTGTTCTTGCCCTCTTGACCACAGCTGCATATCAAGCAGAGGTTTTGCTGGTTTCCCCACCACTATGTCACTTACATTGTTATCTCAAACCACAACACAGGATGCAAGTAATTAGTATCTGTTATTAACTCTTTGGTATGTCAGCAAGCACAGAAGAAAACTCTGGTACCTCCTTTTTGTCTGCGCTCACCTGCTAAGAAAACTCACCCTATACTGGCAGGGGCTGAAGTAGGCACATTTGATTGTTTCACCTTTCTCTCACCAGAATCTGCCAAAGTCTGGAGCCCAACATGGAAATCCTGCTAGCATGGAAGAACAGCCAGAAGAGAGACGATATGGAATTTAGGGTATATTTAGTGCTGCAAACCCCTTCCCTACATACACATAACACAGACTCTATACCCTCAGCTGATCGAAGCCCCCTTTTCTAGGTCTGCTCACAATCAAACTAGACCAGAACAAGATAAGCCACTAATGGGCATGTGGACTTCACCTGTGTGGAGTGCCAAAGCATTGCAAAGAGATGTTTCTTGATCTGGTGCACCAACTCCAAACCAGCACTGAAATGCTTTGCTTTCAGGAGCTGAAGAGAAGAGGCCAGGTCCTGGTACTGCAGCAGGGTTTCCTCTGCAATTCAAGGCCAACAAAGTCACGCTGCTTCCCAAACTCTTAAGCAGAGACCTCTGATTATGAAGCCAGTCACAGCTTCTTAGGTCTCCTCTGCACATACATTCCTCTTTCAGAAGGGAACGTGTTGCTTCTTACTGCATGAATCTCCACTGGCAGCCAAACTGCTTCAGTGGATTTCCCAGAAATGACACCAAGAAGGCAAAAATGGGCAGGGAGAAACAAAAGAGACCAGCTGAGTGCTGGTGTGTACCCTACTGCCCCACTACAGAGCTGCCACCCTTTGAACCAGCTACTCTGGAGAGGCTGTGGGACTTACCCAAAAGGATCTGCAGAGTATTAGTATGCAGCTCTAGGCTCTCAGTCTGCTGTTCCACAATATCCATGCTCTCACTGTCCTGGTTATAGTAGCTGTACACACAGGAGTAGGCCAGCACCTGGAGTAGTACAGATCATGCTTTAGAGTGAGCAAGAAGAGAGTAGCATCACACCCTTACAGACTTCATTACGTATCAGTGGCCGAGAGAAGCATGGCAGTGCTTCTGCTCTGTGGCAAGTGACAGCAGTGCCAGGCTACCTACAGCTACTCGTAGGATTGGAAATGAAGGTGTAATTATTTTGTACTGAAGTCTGAATAACTGATTGTTCCTATCTGCAAACCATCACAAGAATGTAGACTATAAATGCATAATAAGTGTGACTGACCAGCAGGCAGAGAGTCAAAACAACCAGCACACAGAATCTACACATGGCTGGGCGGCTCAGGTTGAACTCAAGTGGCAATGAGAGATCTGAGCCCAAAGAGAGGCAGACATGGTGCTATATAGCACCAAGAGCCCATGACAAAGGCATTTCAAAAGTTACAAACTCCTATTATGAATGAATGACCACCCAACAGGAAACAAGACCACTGTTTCCATGTAAAGAAAAGGGCCAGAAGAGCCAGCAGCAGCAAGCAACAGTGACATGCATCCTGGCAAAAGTGAAAAGACAAAACAATACCACCACTGGGGCATTTCAAACTGGAATGCACCAAACCAAATATATGAACACCCTATAGAGCCTTGTGCTGATTCCATGGTCTCAAACTGAGTTAAGCTCCAAAACCTAGATCTAACTGTGAGGAACACTGCAGACAAAGCCCAACTCGGAGTGAGAGCAGGGAAAGGTAGACATAAGCTCTGCCCTTACTTTGATGCTATTCCTCCCCTCAAGCTTATTTTGTCTCCCCTTGTTTAGTGTAGGGTAAGGTTGGTGTCTCCTCACTTTAAGAAAGGCATAAAACACACCAATAGAATTGGGCCTAAACCTCAGCAAGTCCATTATCCAACCGTACCTTCCGTGCCTGCTCCAGCACTTTACAGGCATCAATAACAAAGGTCAAAGTCCTAAGTTTTGGCATCTTGCTGATGGAAGAAACCCTGTTCCTGAGATTCACAGCAAATTCCTGCAATAACCACGGGAGAAAAAAAAGTCAACATCAAGCTCCACAAGATAAAAAGATAGCACCTTCCACACAGATAATTGCTAAGCATCCTGAAGTGTCATTTCAGAAGATGCAGGCAGCAGAACGTTTACTGCATCCAACTATGACATCCCTTACTGTGCCATCACTTCAACCTCTTACAGTATTTCAGCTCTAGACAGAGTTCAGCCTTCAGTCGCCATTGCTTCCAAGTACTGCATCTGTTCGAGCACGTAAACACCACGAGTTAGGCATTCAGCCTCCACAACAGACTCGCTAGAAGAAAGCAGGCCAAGAACTACCCGTTTTATCAGAGCAAGAGTGAAATGACCACACATCACCATCTGTATCTAAAGTGCGTCACAGCTTCAGGGGAAATACATTGAGACACAACAGAAACTATCCTGCTCACCAGGGCTAAGGCAATAGAGTCGGCATCTGCAAAGGAAGGAGGCGGCCTTACCCTTGCATGATGATGAAAGGTGCATCTCTCATTGTAATCCTGAAAACGCTTCTCCTGCCAAGCTGCTTTACTCACCTGAAAGGAAAGGTAGAAGTAACCTGTAGCAAGTTCCCTCAAGTACCACAGTTGTCTGGAAATGGCTACTACACATACAGACTTTGAACAATACCATCGATATTACTGGCAAGTGCACGAAGTCCAGAGCAAATGGCACAAGTGCAGATCCTCACCCTCTCTCTGAGAGGCCAGGTGCATCTGAACACAAGCATGAACCACTGGGACATATAGCAAACCACTCACCATAGCAGAGCAGTTGTAATAATCCTTATGAGTTGGCCTCCAGGGTTTGAGGCAACGCCAACAGAAGCCATGGTTACACTTCGCACACGTCATACTGCGTGGTAGGAGAACAAGAATGGGAACCACTCAGTCCTAACAGCTACTTGCAGACAGCTCCTCCCAGTGCTCCCCTACATCCCAGACCTGGAGTGTGCAACCCAGTCACTCCCGTTCACTCAGTACTATGCATTTCCCCGCATTTATTTTTTAAAGCCTTTGCTAGAAGCAGATGATGCTTAAAACCAGTCACTGTGTCTCCAAAAATGAGCTTGGTAAACTGGCAGCGTGATCTCACAGTACCAACTTACCAAGTACTTGAAGGAGGAACTAAGCATTCCACGGTTCACAGCAAGAGTCGCACAAGCACATCACCTCTTCCCTCAGTAATGCAGCACTCCGCAGTGCAGAAAGACACTGCATGCCCCAAGGGCCACATACAGCATGTGGGTTCAAATCACAGCTGGGCACTAAGGGTTGTGCCAGTGCAAGAAAGAAACAAATGGCGACTCGTAAGCCCTGGCTTCAAAGCTGGAGATAACTCCCCTATCATGTAAAAAGCTGCCAGAGATCCAAGCCAATTCAAAGGGGTAGTTAAAAGAGAATTGCTTAAAGTTACAGGAATAGGTGAGCATGAAAGAAAAAATGGCACTGATACCTTCACTCCTCTAACTTGTACCTCTGTATGTCTACAGCAGATTCTGAGAGCAGACAAGTGTGCGCAGTAAAAAGGTACTGCAAAATGAGTTGTGGTTCTACTACAGAGCTAACAATGGATTTAACTCTTAATGCTGGTGAACATTTTGCTTTTCCTAGGCATTAAAAGCAATCACTCATTCCTCTCAAACTATAGATCAGACCTGCTGTAACTGTTACTCAATAGCCAAAAAAAAAGGCGCACAATGGACCTAACTGCACATTTTTGACCTCTCCTGTCTCCAGCAGCAAACAAAAATGGATACTCACTGCAGGCATCCCTCATTTTTCTCAATCTGAGCCTGGCAGTTTGGGCAGTGCTTTGAAATGAGCTTAGCCAGATGTTTACTTTGGGCTTCATTTGTCATTCCCTCATAGTATCCATCGTCATCCACCCACTGCGACATGTGGCTGCAGCTGGCAGGATAATGGGCCTGGAAGAGAGAGCCAGTCAAACACACCAAAGCAGAGTGGCGTGTGCCAAACCCAAGACAGCATTGTCCGTGATTCAGCTCGGCCTCACCTCTGGGAAGTTGCAGTTGAAGCAGGACATCCAGGAGCACTTGGAACAAGCTGCCCCATAACCAAGCCCATCCTTAAGGAGGATCTGATCACAGCCCTGAGGGTTGGTGCACCACGTCAAGTTGGAGCAACACTCAACATAGCCTCTAAGGAGGGTTTTTTCATACTGTAAGAAGCAGCCAAGGAGGAGATTTAAGGCAGAGCAGCTGCATGGTTAGGCCTTACAACTGAGGTTTGGTGCCTCTGAGCTCTACATCTGACTGAGCAACTACTCACAACAAAACAGCACTCAGCTAGTTTACTCTTTCATTCTCTTTGTGTAAATTTCCCACCCCTTGCATCATATCTGGAGACTGTTTCATATAATCACAGAACAACTGAGGTTAGAAGGCACTTCTGGAGATAAACACTAGTCTAACCCCTCCAGCTCAATACAGGGTTGCTCAGGACTGTGTCGTCCAATTGGGTTTTGAGCACATCCAAGCATAGAGACTACAAGCCTCTCTGCCCAACCTTTTCCAATGTTCCATTACCCCTACTGTTAAAAAAAAAGTTTTACATTTAAATCTAATTCCTCTTCCTTAAATTGGTGCCCACTGCTTCATATCTTTTCACTGGATAGCACCATAATTAATGGGCTCCTTAATCCCGTGTGTGTATTTACACATGTTGGTAAGATCCACCCCTGAGCCTCCTCTTCTCCAGACTAAACAAACCCAGCTCCCAGCTTCTTCCAGAGGTGTTTCAAAACCTGAATCATCTCTGTGGCCTTTTTCTGGATTCTCCCCAACACTGGGTAGAGGGAAAGGGCCACCTTCCTCAGCCTGCTGTCAGTACTCTTCCTAATTCAACCACAAGGGCACACTGCTGGTTGATGTTCAGCTTGTTGTCCACCACAGTCCTATTTTCTATTCTGCAGGGCTGCTTCCCAGATAGCTGGTCCCTGGCACATACTGCTGCATTGGGTTATTCTACCTGAGGAGCAGGACTTGGCACTTCCCTTTGTTGAACTTAATGATATTCTTGTTTGCTAAGTTTTCCACTCTGTTGAGGTCGCTCTGAATGGCAGCACAACCATCTGGAGTGTCAACCAGTCCTCCCAGCTGTTTATCAGCTGTAAATTTGCTGAAGGTGCTCTCAACAACCAGGTTATCAATGAAGATGTTAAACAATGTTGACCTGAGTATCAACCTTTGGGTTATACCACTAGTGATACACCAATCTCTGGGTTATACCTCCAGCTGAGCTTTCTGCCATTGATTGTAACTCTTTGAGGTCAGCAGGCTACCTCACTGCCCATTCATCCAGCTTCTACTTAATCAGGTTTTTTTTTTTAATACATGGATGCTCTGCCCACAGCCTCTAGACATTACTGCAGAGGACAAGGCAAACTGGTCACCAATAAGGAATACCTTATATATAGGGGGAATATTTACACATGCTGGAGTTAATCCAGGAGTGGAGCTCATGGCATAAATCCCAGCAAAGGATCCCTGGAGGCAGAATGAAAGACCACTTCTTAAGAACAGACTTTGAAGGAACTTGAGGGAAACAAAGTTGAAAGAAAACATATTTCTTTCAAAAATATGACAGGGTTTATGTTTTGCAGAAATACAAGCATTAAAGTTTAAACTCAATTATTTTTATATTAGCAAGAGTGCAGCCAGCAGGCAAGTGAAGGGATTTCTCACACCTATTTGGCAGTGGTGACACAACTGGATACTGGGAAAAATCTGGACTCCCAAGTACAAGAAATACATTAACAGACTAGAGAGAACATTGTCTGTAGGCCAACAAGAGTCAGGGGCTGGAGCACAGAATGTTTGAGGGGATGCTGAGAGAGCTGGATTTGTTCAGCGTGGGGAGACGGCAGCAGAAGGGGATCTTACCACTACCTAGAGCTACCTAAATGCAAGATGCAGAGAAGACTGAACCTGAAGCAGTACATTTTAACTTCAGCATTAGATCTTCACACAATAATCTGGCCATTTGAGCACAGGGTTGGACCAGAGATCTCCATAGATTACTGCAACCTAAATTATTCTAGGACTGTATGTATGATTCTGAATGAGGCATTAATGCTCCAGCCACACCGCTTACTGAGCAAAAGCAGAAACGGATAACACTACAGGGAGAGAACTGGAGCAACTTGTTAAAATTGGCTGCAATTTCTGTTGACCTGCAATAACATTTTTAATAAATTAGCCATAGCAACAGGATATTAAATCCTGCCCTCAGACAGGTGATACTACAGGATGCTTCCTCCCTGGAAGTGTTCAAGGCCAGGTTGGATGGGGCTTTGAGCAACCTGGTGTAGTGGGAGGTGTCTCTGCCCACAGCAGGGCATTGGACTGGATAATCTTTAAGGTCCCTTCCAACCCAAACAATTCTATGATTTGCAAAGCCAGTAAGAACTAACTGCCCAGACAATTCAATGCACTAATTCTCCCAGCATTTCTTACAGAAAACAAGATACAAAAGATACATTGAAGGAAATGCTTTTCTGTAGCCTTGCCCAATTTGGTTGGCAGTTTACAAGCAAAAAGAAAAATTATAGAGCAGTCTTTACGACTACTGTTTATTTCTCCTTATGACTGATCACACAGGATCATAATGACAGTAACAAACTCAAAGAGGAGGAGCACAGTTTTAGAGAAGCAATTGCTGGTAAAGACCTGTCAAACAACAGAGCAATGAAAAACAGAGGAGACACCAGTTTTGTCCCACAGTTGACAAAAAGAGTCTGTCATGGGACAGCCACAAGTCTGCCATTAGTTGGGGAGCACAATCAGCTCTCAGTAATAACTAAAAACTGAAATCGGGAGAAAAAGTAGCTTCTGTCTCAGAAAAAGCAGCTCCTGCTGCCCCCTGCTGACTGAGGGCTAAGGTGAGCAGAGTTCAGGGAGCTTGGTTTAGAGATGTCTGTAGATTATTTGCCTTAGATTTTACAATTGCTTTCAGCACATCAGCACAGGATACTTGTCATGAGCTGCTACCACAGCTCTCACCTGGTCTTCAGATAAGGATGCACCTGAAATGTTGTTTGCTGGAAACACAGTTAGAAGAAATACCACTACGCTCTTCTCCTGATGTTATGCTTCCCTGGATAGCTGGTATTGACCACGGTCAGGGACAACAGATACGACTGGCCAGAAATCTGGTCTGCCTCAATTATCACACTGCCAGTCTTAGTAACAGGAAAGAGAAAAGCAGCAGCAGGATAATTGGCTAGTGCTGGCCAAAATGAAATAGTTTGGACACCCAGTAACCACCTCTCCTACTTCACCTTGGCTTTAATCTCCTTGGAGGAAACGATGGAACAAATGAAGGCTGCAGTTGGCTGTGCACAGCAGTCAGATATGGGACAGGTGCAGTTGACAATCAGGTTCTGTTCAATGCGAGTTGTCAGATACTCACTCCAACATGGCTGTGAAGGCAGAAGAGGAGAGATTAGAGCTTAACAGGAGCTCCACCACCCGGGTCATCTGATCGTGGAAGCCCACCCCACCCAGCAGAGGGTGCAAAAGCACCACAAAAACTGTGGATAAGTACTCAAATTACAAAAGTCTGAACAGACCTATCAGGAGCTGAAGGATCACAACAAACAAGGGAGCTGAGAATGTATGAGCTCTGTGAAAATCACCTCCCAGCAGCTTCAGACAAAGCTACCCAACTGCCACCAACCAGGCAGCAGCAATTCCCTACCAAGTTACAGGAGACAGACCCCAGGACCTTCACCTTGCAGCAGTAGTGCATGCAGCAGAGGGTTGGAGGCCTGTCAGTGAGACACAGCTGGTTCACACAGACCGGGCAGTGGGTTCCTGGGCTTGGGGGAGGCTGGGCATTCTGCACTTTTAGCCCCGAGGAGATGAGCAGGGTTTCACGGTTCTCCACATAGCACTGGATCAGGAAATCCACATTCCATCTGCAGTGCATGAGAAGGTGCTGAGCAACATCATCTGAGATGCTCAGAGTATCCTGGACCTGCTGTACTGTCTGGTTCATGAGCAGCTTTGCCTCCTCTGGACTAAGTGTGTGCCCCATTGGCACCTGCAGCGTTGCCATGAGAAAGTCCTCTGACGTGGCTATGCCAGGATTCAACCTAACAAGGAGAAATGGGTCATGTCCATACAGGGTGGAGATGCACACCCCTCCACACCTGGTGACATGTATCCCTACCAATAGGAGCAGTTGATCCTGTCCTCATCTGGAGATGTCTCTGGTGGCCTGCTCTGGAAAACCATCTGTGCCTGGCCCCCAAGAGGTGTTGTGGGTTCA